TACAAATTATATAATAAAATGTTGACTTTGATCTTTCAAGATAACTTAATGAAGTTCTTATAATTCATACAACATTGCTCATAATTAGTATCATATACTTTTTACAGTAAATCAAATCTTCTAATATTTCCTCCTATAATGAAGCTAGAAAATTATAGAAGACATAATATATTCAAGTGAGTGAAGACTAAAAATCTAAATGTTCAAACGTAGTTTGCCATAAATGTCAGAAATATTTCATTCGGATACGATATCATCCATCCATATTGGCTTCAGTCTAATATTTGCAAAAATCTTTGACGTCACAACAATAAATCTATGGAATATGAGAACCTCATTATTCGTCAGAATAAACGTCTTTGGAATTTCAAATATATAAATGTTAATGAATCACTGAAATAAATCCATGACACTCTAATGAAATTTGATTGCAATTAGAATTCTCCTCCTTAGAGCTGATGTAATTGCCAGCCATAAGTTCTGGAATGTCAGCTTTAAAATTGGCGTGGCTTATCGTTACATCGTTACACCTACACAAAAGCTCAAAGGACAAACCTATTTCCTTTTATGTTAAAAAATCTAGGGAAAATGTCTCATTAACATTTATTTGAAAATGTATTATTGTTACAGGGTTTAGGGAAAGAATGAAGACTAAAGCTTGCAAGAATCATAATTCAGTAGTTAAAAAGAAAAACCAGTTATGGAACATGAAAATGACAGTTGAGGTCTTCATTATTGGCGATTGGAATAAATTCCAGTATCCTTTGAAAAACGATGAAACTGGAAGTCCGATAGAGAATTGAAACAATGCGAACTATGATATAACTAAAATCAGTTAGGATACTAAAGAGTGAGCTGGAGCATTGAGGAGACCTATTCATTCCAAGCGATTAAAGCTAAATGTCAAACAAAAACAATAAGTAAATTATATAATTTAGAGCCATTATAAAAAAAACACTTTAAAATCTCTCGTTGGATGTTATTGACAATATATGAGTAAATATCATTTTTCCGAATTTACATTGTTAGGTATTGTTCATTACAAATTTGGAAAGCAAAAGAATGTATAGAATGCATTATTAAAAATCTTCTGAAACATTTATTATTCGAACATTGAGCGTAATTTTTGTTGTTGTTTTGAATATGCACCAAAAAGTAATTCAAACGTATGTCAATATGATGTGTGTGCGTCAAGTCACAGTCAGAGTTTTGTTTATGTGATGAATTAAAATAAATAACATGAAAGAAAATGAGTCAAAACGAATAATGAAAATATTCCAAACTTTCTACGAAGTAGCAAAATCTTTTTATATGTACTTATTTATAAGATTATCATTTTATGTATTGTATTTTATATCATTGTATATATTAAGTTCATGTATCGTATATATAATTATGCAATATTTCTCTACACTGTAGAACCCAAGACTTCCGTAAGGAAAACAATCTTTAAAAATTTACATGACGCAATATGAAATGATATAAAAATATGACTGTGAGAATTGTTTATTTATTTTTCGGTTTGACAGAATTATTCATGAACAGATAAAATCATTTTCTAACATTATACAGATATACTTCGGTTCATCTAGACGATGACTTTTCAAAGAAAAATCAATAATTTGCAATATAGTTTTATATAATTTTTCTATTTTCCCAATTATATTTGTAATGTTGTACTAATGAACTTATTTACAAACACACGCACGCACTCACACACACAACACACACACAACACACACCATACAACTCACACATATATATATATATTTTTTTATTAATTAAAAGATTTTCTTTAGTAGATACCCATATTTGAGTAGACGCTCCGTTTACTTATTAAACAGTCGATTTATGGCATACAGTGATGACTACCATCATCAGTTATGCGAAGATTTTGCAAAGAGATTTACTCGGTGCCAAAAGAAATGGTAATTTTGAGCGTACGGCTGAAGAAATCAATTCTTTCCATCGAAAGACACTCAGTGATAAAAGGTAGAGAAAAGAATGCAAGAGAAAATAATTCAATAGTGGACCCTGAACCAGCGAAAACCACCAACCTTGAAAGAATTAGAGATCTTATTGGCTTCTAGATCAGCTTCGGCCTCAACCCAGTTATGTGTCCTATACGCGATGTTCAAATATTCAGGTACATCTCTGGAAGATATTAAGAGAAAATATGGAGGAGAGATAGAGTTGCAAAGTAGTGAAGGTTCGTCAATGTAGTGTGGATTCCTGAAGAAGAAAATTCTAAAAAAAAATAACAGTTCAGAACAATTTCTCCGTTGGAGATGGAAAAATATTCTTCAGCATCTTGTCCCAAAGACTTCAGAATTATCTTGTTGTCAACAATTACATAGTACAGAAGGGTGGGAATACAGGATTTAGGGAAAGAATGAAGATTAAAGATTGCAGGAATCATAATCCAGTAGTTAAAAGAAAAAACAATTAAGTGTCTGGGTAAAGATATTTAATACTGATCTAAAAGATACAAATGCTACCCAGAAATTTTTATAGACCTCGAAGAAATTTTGAGCAAAGTGAACAATTCAGTTCTGCCAGGCAGTGTTTTCACGTGGATATATCAATATGCCATTTTGCCAAAGATTTTGTGATTCCCAACGTTATATGAAGTGGCATAAACAACAGTCGTGACTATGGAGAAGAAATTCAGTGGCTATTTACGAAGATGGCTCGACCTATATAGTAGTTTTAGCAGTGCAGCTTTCTATTGAATGTTAAACCCGTGGCAACCCCCCTTTAGATGATTAATTGAAGGGTTTAAAGTGGCGAGGATAAAGGAGGCGATCCTATATAGGGATTTAAAAGATCGTAAAATTGCAGAAGCAAAATTTGAGGTTCGAACAGGAAGAAAGTGGAAGTCATCACACGAGCTCAGTAGAGCAGAGCAGAGGCTAAGACAGGCGGCTATCGTAGGAACAATGATAGTGGGCAGATCAGGCTTAGGTTACTGTCCCATTCCCCAAAGGAGAGAAAAAAATGAAAGATCGGAAACACTGTCTTCAATATGAAGTGAGAGCAGGAGTGAAGGAAATTAGAAACAGTAAAATGGTAGTCTTAGGTCAACAGGAGGCTCGGCAAATAGAAAAAGTTAGATTTCCTAGTGAAATATCTGGTATGCTAATCTCAGTAACATACAATTACCATGTGATGCAGTATATCATATATTACCCAAACCAGAAAACCACTACACATCGAAAAAGAGTCTCCACTCTGTCCGTTGTGTCTAAAGAGAGGATCCCTCCAACATATATTGAGCGGTTTCCTCAAAGCATTGAGTGAGGAGAGTTAAAAATATAAAGTTTTAAGAGCAATTGCACCAATAGTTTCAAGGAGTCTCTAAACAAACCGATACGAGCCTAATAAGAAGTTAAGGAATTTTGTCAGAGCAGTGGGGGGGGTAAAAGACATTACAAAGAAAGAAAACGTCAGTCTGCTCAGACTGGCAAATGAAAGTAAATAGGAAGACAGCTAAAATTCCCAACGAAAATAATACAGAAACATCTACGTCCGGACATGATTATTTATTCAGATAAAACCATGCAAATTATCATGTTATAATTAACAGTACCTTGGGAAGAAAATATGGTTGAAGCCAACAAAAGGAAACTTTGGAAATATTTACAGAACAAGGCCGTTCCCTCAGTATCAATCGCATCATAAGATGTTTATGTCTTAAAAGCTCAGGTGATTGGCAGTCGGCAAGGAAGTGAGGTGAAGTTGGGGGACATGAAATATCGTTACTTACCCACTTCAAGTTGAACGTGTCACAATATTTCTTACGAGGGCGAAACTGTTACTGCGTTTGTTTTTTTTTATGGAAAAGCAAATATATTTTGAGAATCAGGATATTATAATAGTTACATTTCAATAGAATTGAGCATTTATTTTATTATGTGCTATTAGTTAATACTGTATTCTTTCACAGATTGTGGAACAAAACATAACAGACATTCAGTATTCTCAACTACAACTAAATCCTGTGTGAATTTCTCTTGGTTTACATCGCGTTTTTTGCTGGTAGATTTTAAAAAATGATGAATATTTTAAAACATGCCAACCATTCAAAATATTCACACATTTGTAAATACTTAATTGCAGTGAAATAGTTTGGGTCCAAGACTACAGAGTGTGTTGATTTAAATAACCATATGTGTATGTTTGATTTCTGATTGATGAGCCAATGGATTTGAACAATATGAAAGGTGAGCAACGATTTACTTTGATGATATTATCAAGTTTTTTCGTCGTTCATTTCAGGAGATGGAATTTTTGCCTGGGATCCATAATTAATATGAAGCCCTTGTTTTTATTCGGCTCAGTCGATATTTTGTCTACTTCGCTCTTTCTTCTTTTCGTTTTCCTTCTCTTTCTCCTTTTCTTCCATTTCTTATGCTATATGCATTTGTAGGTGAAAGAGAGTTACTCAATTTTTTGTAGGCACCTGCATCTATTTAATCAGCCAGAAGCACACACATTATTTATATTGGTGCGACCGTGTTTTTAATATGAAAAAGTATATACTTTGAAATACTGATGTAAGATGGTTTTGCATGAAATGCCTTTCGATTTTTTTTTGCAATATATATATATATATATATATATATATGTGTATGTGTGTGTGTGTGTGTGTGTGTAGATAGATAGATAGATAGATAGATAGATAGATAGATAGATAGATAGATAGATAGATGAGTTTGTGTATGCGTGTGTTTATATGAATGTATAGACACATATATATGGAGGATATATTCCTATTATATATATTTGCAGGTATTCAATGCATGTTTTTTAAAGCTTTATGGTCACGAAGCCCCGAAATTCTAATGTCAAATTTTCCACAGATAGTACGTCCCCAATACATGGAAAGATAACTGATGCCTAAAGTGTTCCAAAAGAAAAGAGTACTGAAAATTTCGGAAACCTACTTGCACATACGCATAAAAGGCGTCACTTTAAATTCTATCTTGTGTCACATTAAGCCATTTTGGCAAGTTAAACAAATACAAGCTTTCTTTCTCCCTCTTTCTCTTACTCTCTCCCACTCGCTTTTTTTTTCTCTCTCTCCCCCCACTCCTTTTTTCTCTCTCTCTCCCTCCTTTTTTCTCTCTCTCTCTCCCACTCGCTTTTTTCTCTCTCTCTCTCCCACTCGCTTTTTTTTCTCTCTCTCTCTCTCTCCCGTTCTCTATCTTATAATTTTATACAGAACTGTATATAAGCTATGAGTCTATGCCATGCTTGTATTTATAACATTGTGGTGCGACGCACATTTTAATGCGTGTATGATTTGCTTTATACAAGTGTAAATATGTATGTATATGCATTGCTTAAATTTGAGTAATTTGTACATTTTACATACACATTTGTACGATTTCTGTAACCTCTATTTTATACACGCGTATGTGTGTTTGTGTATGTGCGTGTATGTGTGTGCTTAACTGTATGTGCATAAATAGGCCCTTGGAATAATATATGCAAATTCCAGTAAGTTGGCAACACGTTGCCTATATTACGTGTACGTTGGACATATGAGTACCAACAAAGTTATCATTTATATGTCTCGAGAATTTTGTCTGTATTCAAATATACAATCGAAGAAATAAATGGAAATCATTCGTTATTTACATTATGACTAATGTCCTCATCTTTGTTGTTATCATCACGTTTCGGCCGTCGTGCCCTCCAGACCTCTTCAGATACTTGTCGATCTGGGTAACTTACTGGGAATTTCAGACTGAACTATTAATTTTATCAGCCTGGTTAGATTGTTCTCGTTCCGTTAGCCATGTCTAGGGATAACACGTCTTGTTCTTATTTAGTGGGGCTCAGTTATTGTTCACTTTTAGTTTAAACAAATTAATTCAACCGGTAGTTATTTCACCGAGTGTTATGAATTCAAAAATAAATGCTTAAAACAGACACTAAAATCGAAAGTATATCGGAATTGATTATATATATATTACTTCGCCTTGGACTAAGATCAACTATTTCTGTCGCCAGAATCCAACCTGTTACTGTCTTAACAGCCACGTAGAATATAACTGAACAAATAAGTAATAAAATTAATCACTTAGTTCATTAATGCCTTTATAGTTTACATATTAAGAAAAAGTGTGGGTTATATTTAGTTGAGGGTCAAATCAACAACGTTACTAAGGATTGTGCAAAGGTCACAGTGACTTGGGAAGCACAACAACTAAATATAGCCACCTGAGAATCAATTGAGCTGATAAGAAAATCGATTTAAAATGGACGACTGTTTGGTTGGCGGCGAGGAGACTGACTGAGTCATAAAGACAGAAAAACATGTTCTCAGCGCTGAATTTCCCGTTGCCAAAAGTAAAATAAGGGCCTCATAAATTGGGGTAGAAAAATTTGGAACACTTGTTGACGCATACAGATCGACATAAATATGTATAATAGATATATATATATATATAAGATTTTGTGTACTTACTGCCAAATGTATCTGTCATTCTCTCTATTTCTTTCCTATGGAATTATAGACAATGTCTGATGCGTTTTATTTATGCATTTGATTTTATATTTCAAATTAAAGTAAGAAAACAAAATGATATTGTAGTTTCCATGTTTTTATCTGATGCTCGATTAGTTTTCTTGAATAAATCTTTACACATTCTGAGTATTTCTCTGTAAGTGTGTCCAGTAAAATAACTATTTTGATATACGGTTATAACTAAATATCACTGACTGTAATGCAGAATTATATGCGTTCCTAACATGCTCTATTCTGTTCTAGTATTTCTGTAATGCTTAGCAATGTAACAGTGTATGTAAATTTACGCATCCAGCTAATCTAATACAAATATGAAAGTATCTCTACCTTGTATTTCTCTTGTCCGTGTTTCCGCGTGTGATAGTGATAGAGTACCTGTATACTTTAATATTTTAGTCAATCGTCTTTCTTTCCACACATGATTTTATATGTCCTGCTAGATTCGTAGATATTTGTTCGATTGGCATGCTTGACACAAGGACAATCTCATTCACGAACAATTGTTGATTGATGCTGTTATAATTGTAATGACGACTATAGTTATGGTAATTATAATTTATTTTTATTGATATCATAGTTGTTTCAACTATGATATCAATTATCAGACATCATTATCAGACATCATTATCAGACATCATTATCAATGTCATTATTTCTCTTGTTGCAGCTGGTGTGTAACAAGTTGTGATCCGCTGAGCTATTTAGAAAGTAGATTTTTTCTTCAGTAATCTTCATTGCTGCTTTAGATTTCATTCGAAAGAAATTTTTCTTTCATTATCCATCATGCACTGCTGTCCCTTTTGTATCCCTAAGAATTCTGTTTTGATCATTTTATATCCAAATCTATACGTGAATTTGTTAGGATATTTTATTTATATAGCTTGCTGAATACTTTGCCACAGTTGTGCTTGTAACTTTAGAATTATAGACGCATGATGAAACTTATCTAATTTTTATAATCTTGTATACAAATTGATCTAACGAGATATCAGCAGATAATCGGTAGCGCTGCTGCCCTTTACACATTGGTAAATATTTTCGCCGGCAAAACACTAAGGCGTAAATAAAAAATATCAAAATATCTAAATCTGTCTATACACATATCTAAGATTCTTTTGTATATAAACTCATGTTTAATACGAAAATATACAAGTTATAAGCAGAACTATTTAATTCATAAAGTTTATGTGTGACTGTACTTTTAACACCTTAAACTTATCTTTCTCTATTTAAAGAATTCTTTGCCTGTGATAATGCATGTGTAATAATTTATGCAGAATAATATATAAATATATATATTTATGGTGATTAATGTGTTTGGCTGCATAAAGAATTGGCATGTCTAATATTGTGAGATTGTTGCGTATAGGCGCAAGTTTAAGTGGCTAAGTTGTGTGTGTTTGTGCATAACATATAAGGAGGAATATGTTGGGTGTGTTAGCTTCGTGCATATGATATAACGGACAGTCTTGATCTATTGAAAAAGCTGATTAATTGGGTTTTTTTCTGAATTATAGATGCACAAAAGATGGAAAATCTTACAATATTTCAGGCGGAAAAAGGCATATTTCTTTCTTACGGATCTGTTGAGGTGAACAGCAGATTTTCAACAATTTTTCTTTCGTATCACTTGACCTCTTTCTTGTCACTTCAACGACGACTTGCATTATTTTGCGATTGCATTTTATGTTGATTTTTTATATATCCCTCTCTATCTCTCTTTCTCTCTATCTCTCTTTCTCTCTATCTCTCTTTCTCTCTGTCTTTAATTTCAATTCATTTCTAAAGTTAAGCTTTAGGTAAAAGAAAAATTCAAATCCTGGTGATTAAGCCCATATATTTATACTTTTGTATGACATGAAGATAAATTGATATATGAAAATTGAGATATGAAAATATTTGAGGACATATGAGATCATATTTGATCAGTCTTAAATATGGATACCTAAACATACAGTGCAATCGAATTCAATCAAAGTTATTTATATATTTTATAGGACAAATATTACACTGGAAATTATTTACATTGGTTCCTTCTGTTTATCAACTAAGTTTAATATTGTGAAAACTTATATGGAAAGACCAGAAATATTAAAGTCTAAAATCGGCATTGGTCAAGACGAATACTAAAAAAGCAATATTACAAGATTACGCATATACTAAATGCTTTCATTTATTATTTCTGTAATCAATAGTGGCGACATACCAGAAGATATCTTGCATAAGAAAAAGATGAATGCGTGTTCCATTGGACAATAACATTAATAAAGCACATAACTAATACTCTGATGAATACCGCAACTAACAGAATTAAACCGGAAATGGGATTAGAAGGGTGTTGGTTTTCTTTAAAGACACAAGAAATCCACTTTTTATTCAGAAACCTTTCGATGTTTCATTGACTAACCAAAAGCATTTGATAAATCACGACACAAAGATCTATTTGAACTGGAACGAAAGCATAGTTTATTTGGAAAAGATTTAAATTATGTATTAGTGAATATTTTCTGGGAACAAACCGCCTGCATACGGATAGAAAATGACTTCAGCAAGTACGCAAAAATAACAAGAGACGAGTAAACTGCAGGAATTCCTTGGCAAGATAGTCAAGGAAAACGGGAAGAAATGTCTAATCATCCATTGAAAGAAGACAGAATGTATGGCCTTAAGCAAGAGGAAAATACCTACCTTATTTACTGGTGCATTAGTGTATGAGGATTTAATTTTGAAATACCTTGCAAAATCTTAAAACTGTCAATAGAAACGACGATTGTTATATGTCTCCACAACTTTTTATATATAATACTTTTTCTATTAAGAAAAAAGTTATCCATCTGAAAAAGATTCTTCTCTGAACAAACAATTTTTCCATATATATATATATATATATATATATATATATATATATATATATATATATATATATATTTTTTAATTCATGCACATGCTTGTACTAAAACTAAACATTCGAGAAAACTTAATAAAAAAATATGCTGTTCGACAGATTCTTTATTAGGTTTTCTTCTGTAATAGACTCTTTTTTCAAATGGAAATGAGATGAAATCTAGATAATTGATAGTGAGTATCGTCGGAGAGTAGAAGAGCAGTTGGTAATCGTTTTAACCGCTTGCTGTCTCTATGGTAAGACTGATGATTTCTCTGCACCTGGTCAATAAAAGAAGACCCCCTCAAGATTAGTTTCTACCGATCGTGTCCATCAAAAAGGAACCAGCCATGGCCCCGCCAACTACCGATGACAAAGTGATTTGTTCGACTGTAGCAATCGTTCGTTTTCGTCTTCATCGTTTCCGTCGCCAGAAAAAGCCTGGACAACAATATGTGCTGGGTAAATTCCAAACTGCACCACTACCCGGAAGACACTGACAGTCGTCGAGGAGAGCCGCCACAGATATGCCGAGAAATCGCAGAGCTGTAGCAGTAATAGGCGTCCAGGCAATAAGAATAAGGACGAACTGATAATATTGAAAAAAACATTGCAAGAAAAGAAAGCCGAGCAGAAGAAGAAACAGCAACAGCTACTGGAGAGGATGGCATCCTCTCCTACTGCAATCTCATTCAAAACCCAGACGCCTTAAGAGTTTCCCAAATATTTACCCATTCAAAAAAGCACGATTCCTTACTTTTGTTACTATTTCTCCTATTGCCGAAAAACCACCATTGCATTTCTACCACCAGTTCCATTTCAGCCACCACAAGTAAAACCTAAGCAAAAGAAGAAAAACCAAATGCAAAACATTTCGAAAGCTAAATTTTTATTCTTAGAAGCTTGTAGCGGACCGTCGGTTTACGTCTTGTTAAATTAGGAACACGTTGTTTATTCCTGCTAGAAGAGAGTCCACTACAAGAACATCCAACATAAAGAAATGTAAAGAAAACAAACAAGACCGATATACATCAACAAATATATGTATTAAACAACAAAATTTACAATGGACATAGAAATTAATATGTGTGTGTGTGTGTGTGTGTGTGTGTGTGTGTGTGTGTGTGTGTGAATGTAAAGAGTTTGTATTTTGGTGAATGTTCGTACGTACGTGTATGTGTGTTTCATGGAGTTTTCCCACAAGATATCACATTTTGTAAATGTGTCCGCTGAAATGCGAAGTAAAAAGAGAACGAGGCAAGAAATCACCTAGTATTTATAGTGTAGGGAGAGCGTCTCCTAGCGTACAGTTAGGAAATTAAGGAGGAGTTAATCCCGACAATACCTCCCCTCAGATTACAATTTGCAGGAACGAATTTTTGTACATTAAATGAATGGTAAGCAATGTTGAAATGTTAATAATCAGTGGTGTGAAATGTTGCACGTCATGTAGAATATATGAAAAGTTCATGGAGGTTTTGAATATTGTCCTTGTGAACTGAAAAGAAAAAGTGTCGAAAGTGTGATTGAGATGCGTGATTCGATGAAATGTACTTGTGCCTTCATCAGGGTGCTTGTGTTTATTCGAGTTGAATGTAGCACGCTCTGGAAAAAAGTACGTATGAGGGAATTGCGGTGCAAATGTTTCGGTCGTGTTGACGGTTGGGTGTTGAGGTCGACGACGGGATGCTGAGGTGCGTTCATCGCGGTCGTATCGACGGTTGAAAATTGAGCAGTATTGTAGCCAATTGAGCTGCTTGTGTCGAATGTTGTTTCAGAACTGTTATGGTCCGGTTCCTTGTACCACGGGTGATAGTCCAAGGTAGAACCAATAAAGAAGAATTCGAATACGGAATATGGAATAACACAGATATATTACAAACAGAAATATATACAAAGAAGTAGAAAGTGTTAGTACGAACAATCAGGTTTAGTAGTAATTGTTTGAACGCGACTCTGTTCGGACTGACTGACTCGCTCGCTCTGACTGAGTGACTGACTTCTGACGGACTTCACTCCAGACTTCAGACTGAACTCTAGACTTCAAACGGAACTCTCTGATTCCTCTTGTGGCGCAGTATTTATTACGTATGGAATAGTCCATTATGTTATTATGGGTAACAAGAACTTAAGAAAATTTACTATTATTGTCGATTGAATATCGTACTTGCAAATTTGTAAAGTGTTCGAGTTGCATCGTTGCAAAAAGCGACAGTGAGTCACACTTTACCTATTTCAGTCCAGAAGAAGAGAGTGTTAATTAGTTAAAAATGGCGTTGCATTTTCGATTTGGTAAGACTGTAAGCATGTCTGCCGAGTGAAATTGGGTCAAACATCGCCGAGAGAAAGAAAGCGTCAAGCAAATAGACAAGTGGGGAGAAGGAGATGTATTGTTGCCTTCTGGCTCGTATCATAGTAGTAGTAGTAGTTGAAATGGTGATTGAGGCTTCTCTGGTTTCCCACGTGTTATAGAAAAATTCTATTTGCCGCGCCGGAGAAATGTGTTTTGTATAGACAAATTTGTAGTAATTTAAAATTTTGTGATTTTTCACTTTCATATGATCTAATCACAAATTTTACTTGCTTTATATATATATATATTTTTGCGGGGGGAGGGGGTAATAGTGTCCGGCGTGCGTAATAGGAGTTTTTTCAATGTTTTCTTGACTGGGTTTCGTTTGGAAAGTGTGTGTAAATGTGAGTTTGTACACATATACAGTCTTGTGTTTCTGTTAGCAGGAGTTAAAAAAAATAAATCGCGCCGGAAGGTCACTAATCTATAGCGGACCGTTGGGTTTATGTGTTGTTAAATTAGGAACACGTGCGTTTATTCCTGCTAGAATGTCCACTACAAGAACATGGCGGACTCAGAGATTGAATCCACCATAAAGAAGTGTAAAGAAAACAAACAATACCGATATGTATATACCACAAGTATATATATTAAACAACAAAATTTACAGTGGACATAGACATTAACATTTTGTGTGTGTGTGTGTGTGTGTGTGTGTGTGTGTGTGTGTGTGTGTGTGTGTGTGTGTGTGTGTGTGTGAGGTAAAGAGTTTGTATTTTGGTGAATGTTCGTACGTACGTTTATGTGTGTTTCATGGAGTTTTCCCACAAGTGGGCAAAACGCAAATCTCTGCGAGAGATCACATTTTGAAATGCAAAGTAAAAAGAGAACGGGGCAAAAAATCTCTCAGTATTCATAGTGTAGGGAGAGCGTGCCCTAGTGTACAGTTAGGAAATTAAGGAGGAGTTAACTCCGACAAACTTGACAAAGAAGCGTAGAGAATAGAATCATGTTCTCCGAAGCACAGAAACTGCACACAGTGATAATGAATGATCCGACTGAACGCTAGATTTGGACACTTCTTGCAGAGGTAAACAGTTTTCGATTTGTCGCATCCAATGTGTGTTTCTAAATGCACGAACAAAATTGAAACACTTCTGTACAGGGATCGGATGTGCGGGTGGTGTAATGGATAGAGTCTCGGAATAAGAAATAGGAAAGCCGAATCTTAATTCCAGGTGGGTTCACTTAATCGCAACTACGCTCTCCCCTGCTACATCTGCAAAAACCGTTGTTATTTTAAATGAAATTGTTAATGCAATAATCACAAGCGCAAAATAAATAAATAAATATTCTTACAATCCAAAATATGTTTCGGCTTTAAATGTCACAAATGGTCGCAAAAACGGGGCAAAAAGCCATCTATATTCACCGATCCCTTTACAAGACGGTAAAATGAATCTACCCGAAAGACATCGACGACTTGTCCCCGATGGTTTTATTCAAAATGAAACAAAACCAGAATTTATGGGATATGTCATTGGCATCCTCATATCCGATAGGTTTATTTGTGGTATGCAATATTAAATATATAACAAATGTCTTTCAACCTAGCAAGTGTG